CTTTCTTAACAAATACTGCAATTTCATTAGCAAAGTGGAGTTAAAAGTCCTAAAGAAAAATAAGAGTGAAGAGCATTCAAATCAATATGTGAGAAGTGTAAGAAGCCAGATATACAACTAGCATCACTGAAAATATTACATATAAGAATTAGACCTTAACTAATAGTAAATTTAATCTTCTAGAGGCAATATTGCTACTAAACAGTAGAGGATTTTGTATACCTTGCTCCAATTTCCATTTGTATTTATTCTAAATTGGACGTCTCAGAGATTGTTTAAATAGGATGAGAAATGCACTAATCAATCCTGGCAACTCTGTTATCTGACTAGGAGGCAGCTGAGGGTTATAAGAGGGTGAGAGACACCCATGTTGGGAAACTCAATCTGCCATCAACTCGTATTTTCTACTGAGACAAGTCACTTAATCTCTCTGAAATTCAATTTCTCTCCCTGTCACATGAGATCTACTTCATAACACCCACCAAGAACACCAAGAGGTAACTCAATTGTGAGCCCCATAAACATATGAGTATAGTTAGATCAATGTCATACAGAAAGTTTATTTGCTTGGGCTTCTAATTCAGACCAGCACTCATTCATTCACCCATTCATAATGTGTTTACTTTCTGTGTTGATGATGATTGTAATTGAGCAGGAGCAGTGTTTTTTCCACAACTCACATGCATTCCCACCTGAGACATCCTGCTGCATCTGCAGTTACTGCTGTCTGTGGTTGGTGTCTACATTCTAAGGTTCCCCACGGTTCCCACCATCCCCTGTTGTCCATCTACCCAGCCCACTTCCCTCATTCATATCCCTTCTCTCTTGTTGTACTTGGGGAAGAATGTGACCAACACTGAGAAAAGTGGGGCTGGGAGATGGAGATGGAATCCTGATCATTCATTTGAACACCAGTACCAGGAAGAGTTTGTAGCCCCTGATCTGACTTGTTTTATAAATGAAATACTAGTAGTCCTAACTAGCTTAAGGGGTCAACATCGTGTATGAAATATGCTGTATCCTTTTTTAAATAAAGCACAATATTTTCAACCACATGAAGTAACTAGAGGAAGGTAAAACACATGTTGCCTGGTGCTTGTGCCGTGTTCCCAGAGGATGTTTAATGAATTGTTAAATTTTATGATGGTCATGTGAATTATCGGATGTTTCTTAATGCTAGGCATTGTTTAAGTACTTTGCATTTATTATTTCATCTTCACAGAGTCCTATAAAGTAGATACTACTTTATAGAAAAGCAAACTGAGGCACAAAGAGGTGAACTGTCTTGCCCAAAGTGAGAGGCAAGCAAGTTGTGGAGCCACGATATAAACCACCTTGTTTCAGATGGAGTCCTTGCTTTTAGCAACCACTCTCCACTGGTTCTTTTTACCTGTGAGAGACCAGGTTCATTTGTCCTATTTGTCCTGACAGACCCTAAAGTCATAGATTCATCCTCTTTCCTCTGTGACCCCACCAGCCAGTTCTGAATTTTAGCCAAATATTGGAAACAGTAGTTGCTTTTGACCAAAAAATGTAAAGTGGAAATTCTATACATAGATTTTTAAATAATCACAGAGGTCCACATAAAAGCAGAGGAAGAGATTGAAGGGACACCAAATTCAATACACATAATTCTTAATCATTGCAATGACATTTCATTTATTGGATTCTGCTAATTATGCATTCATGATCATTTCCAGCCAATATGGTTTCTTCTTTCCCTGAACTCTGACAGTATTTTGAACTTTAAATAAGTTTGATTTGGATTTTCTTTTATTTTTTATTTTTTCTTCCTTTTTGTCTTTTTTCATGGCCGGCAATGGATCGCAACCCTCAGTGTCGCGCCCGTACTGGACCGGGACCGGCAACCGGGCCCCACCCCCTGG